ACCCCACCTCCACCTTCTCCCTCGGCCCACGTGGGGCCCAGCTTGGGGGCAGCACCGGCTCAGCCAGTCTGGCCAGCTGGGCAGCCGGGCCTCCTGTGTAATCAGGTCTGCCATTACCCAGTTTGGGGCCAAGTGAGAGGAAGGCCACGGGCCTGGCTGCTGGCTCAGGCCCCGGGGCTACTTGCTGAGCCTCGGACCCCGGACCTCCACTTCTGAGCCAAGGGCCTGTGGCTTCCTAGAACCTCTGCTGGGCCTGCTGGGCCCCTTGTCAAGGTGGCCAGAGGAAGCTCAGTCTGAGCGGAGCTTCCCGGTACCCAGGAGGGAGGTGTCATCCTCCTTCCCCAGGTGGGGACATTGCTGAGAGAGTTTAATTCTATTGCCCAATGTCACATACTTGGAAATGGCAGAGCTGGACTCAATCTAGGGAGGACTGGGGTTATTTCAGACCAGAGCCTCAAAGGAGCCACCACCACATCCTCCCGCAGATTCTGAAAGTCCCAGCTGGGCCCAGCCCTTCCCCTGGCTCCCAGAGCCAGGCAGGAGGTGGCCGGTCTGTTCGGGCCGGGCCTGAAACTCGGAAGCTGTCTGCCTGTCTGCTGTGAGATTCCAGGAGATCCTCCTTCGGAACAAGTCCGGGAGATGGCTCTGACGTGACCCGGTGGCACAATCTTTACGCTCACATGTGATTATGACAACCCCTTGCAAATGATTTACTGAAATTAATTTTTTTAAAAGACATCTTGGCATTGGCATTGGTGAAAAAAAAAGAACAGGATTTTAACTTATGTCTGTGGTCTGAGATGTTAGTGAACTTCTGCAAAAATAAATAAATAGTTTTGGGCCAACTTCTAGCTAGACTAATCTTTCAGCTGAGCATGAGACTGCTTCCTCCTTCGTGTTCCCCCCACCCCCGCCCCAATTTTATAAAGATATCACCCTGGTTGGTAGCTCAGTTGGTTAGAGCATTATTCCTATAGGTTTCGAGTTCCATCCCTGGTCAGGGCACATACAAGAATCAACAAATGAATGCATAAATGAGTGGAACAAGAAATCAGTGTTTCTCTTTCTGCCTCTCCCTTCCGCTCTCTCTAAAAATCAATACAATTTTAAAAAGATGTTTATTATATCCTTAAATATATCTGTAATATTTATTTCCCTCTGATATGATAAGGATCAAAACATTCTATCTGGTGGGGAGGAATACCTGTAAGTTGGCACTGGCTCCCCTGGCCCTAGCCTTCCACTCCCAGAAGATAAAGAACAAAGTTCGGGAGCCCTGGATCTACTTGGTCACTCCCTTACCTCTCAGAGGGTCCATCCTGGGCCCCAGACAGACTTCCTCCCTCCTGCCCCCTGCCCCCCCACCTCGCTTCAGGTTCCTCCGGCTATCCTGGGCGCTCTGGCAGGCCCAGCACTGTCTCCGGGCTCAGGGCTGGATGGGGGATTTATTTGCACCTTTTCTAGGGACACCCAAGGAGCTGAGTGCAGGGCACCAAGGGGTGTGCTGTGCTGTGGTCAGGATTTGGCTGAGCCCCAGGGGCTCGGGGGACAGGGGTCCGAGAAGTCCTCTCACCTGGTGTGAGCAGGACCAGAGCCGAGGGGTGGCTGCCTTGTGACACAAACTGGGCTCCTTCCTCCTCATGACACTAAAACACTTTCAGCTCACAGAGCATTTTCACATCCTCCTCTCATTCCTCATCCGCCTTAGACAGGGAGGGCTGGTCATGTCCTTATTTCACACAGGGAAAGGGAGGCTCAGACAGGGCACTGGCTTCTCTGAGATCACAGGGCTGATAAGATGGCCATAGGGTGGGCAGGGATGGTGCCCCAATCTGTGGGAGAGAGCGCTGTCCTGGATAAAACACAGCATGCACGATACAGTTCTATTGGCAACATAAGTGTTATGTTGGCAGAAAAAAAGGAAAAAAAGAAAAAATATGTGCTCTGCCCCAGAGCAAAGGTAATGGATGGCAGGCAGACACATTATAAAGTAAAAGGTTGTCTACGCTGTGGGGAGGCCAGGCTCGGGGAGCCAGGATGAGGGTAGGAAAAAACGTCTTGGCTTGGCCGGTATTTTTCCTGCAGGTGGGCGGGACCCAGCGAGTGTTGCTCCTGTAATAAATCAAGCATCAACAATTGTCTCTCCAGCTCCGCTCATGTGCAGAGCTGCTCACGGCTCCCCGGACTCCTTTCCACCTGAGCTCCCCACAGACTTCCCCCGGCCTGGGCCTGCCCTTTGCCTTACCCCTTCGGCACCTGCCCTCCCCCGGCCTCCGTCCCTCCCCCACACCTGCGTGCTTGGCTGGGCCGAGCAGGGAAGGCAGCTTCTTAGTCACGTCTGCTGGGCCACAGGGGAAAGGGTACAGGGCCTGCATGCTCCCCCTCCCCCACTCCCGCGTTCCCAGTGTCAGCTGGCCCTGTCCCAAGAGAACAACGGCAGGAAGTGCGGGATGGGGGAGGATGTTCTGGCCATCTGGCCGACGGCCTTCTGCAATCGGAAAGCCGGCTGAAGGGCTGGGACAACAGATAAGGAACACCTGGGTAAGGTGCCCACCACATCCTGGGCGAGCCCCTGCCCGTCCCGGTTCACCCATCGGTGCAAAGGCAGTAAGAGTCCCTTCCCTGATCCCCTCCCTTACAGGGAGGCTGGGATGAGGTCATTGCAGGAAATTACTTATTGTCCATCTTGAAGGGCAGTTAGTTATCTCTGCTCTTCAGCTCACATGCGTCGGTGTGTACTGTTGCTCAGAGCCTTGTACGGTAAACCCTGGGAGGCGTGGTCCAGGTAGAAACCATCCGTGTGTGTGTGTGTGTGTGTGTGTGTGTGTGTGTGTGTAGGAGGGGGGAAGTGTGGGGAGAGGGGAAAGGCGCTGGGAATATGGAGACTGACTTCTGCATTATTGACCACCCGGAGCATTAACTGAGCTCCTACTATGAGTCAACGCCCGTGGGAGCTCTGAGGTGGAATAAGTTACTGCTTTTGCCCCCCAGGAGCCCCCAGCCTCTTCGGGGAGACACAGTAGGAGACCTCAACCCCCTCATTATGCTGGACTGTCCCAGCCAGCCTCGTGCTTCATCCGGTGTCTCAAGGGCCTCCTGTGTGCGGAGGGCTCACAGGTGGCTTCAACCCACTCACGCGTGCGTACTGGTTCTCCGGCAGGAAGCTCAAGGCCCTCACGTCTCACCAGGATCAGTCACCCAGCATGCCATGCAAGATGCTGGACAACGCTGGGCGCTTAGGGACGTAGCAGAGCCCTGGCCCCCGAGGCGTCCTTCCTCACCCCCCCTCAGCGAGCTGGAGAAGAGAAACACGCCGTGCCAGGTTGATCAGGGGTTCCCTTGATCCAGCTGGGGTGAACCTCAGGCACCCTCTCACCCCTACAGTGCTCCCTTCCTCTAGGCCCCTTCAGGCCCCACCCCACCCGCCTCAAACCGGGTCCTTCCTGATCCAGGCTCCCCTGCCCTGCGTTACACACACACACACACACACACACACACACACACACACACGTCCCAGAGACACCTTTCCAAAAGGTGTGTGGGATCCTCCAACGGGCGCCCTGTGCCCTGGCTCATCCTGAGCCTCTGTGTACAGCCCTGGGGCTGAGAAGGCAGAGGTTTCTGGCCCTCTCACTCGTGCCCCTCCCCCACAGCCTCAGACTCCGTCAGACTGGATTCCTCCTGCCCGGAACATTTTCCTATCTCGGGGTACCTTTGCTCTCGATGCACTCTCTTCCCGGACGTCCTCCTCCACCCAGTTCTGCCGCCCTGCGCAACCCCGGGGGGGACCCATTCGACACGCTTTCTGCCATCAGAGCCCTCCGCGGCAGACCCCAAGAACTCAGAGCCCCTTCCCTGTGAGGCCTCCTCCTCAGGACCCCGCCTCCACCCTGGTCGAGTTTTCTCCCCCTTGGAAGCCTCCCGGGACTTTGCTCCCATCCGGAACTGCTGTGTCTTCACAGAGTAAACACTCATTTGCGAGGCTGATGTCCTGGGGTCTGGCCCATGGCTTGCTCTGGGTGACTTCTTCTACCCAGTTCTGGCTAAGCAGGGTCAGCCTGACAGGAACGAAGCCCATTGGCTGAAATTTCCACGTGTGTGTGTGTGTGTGTGTGTGTGTGTGTGTGTGTAGGCTTCCTTCTCTCTTTGGCCAAAATGGCATCATTTCCAAACCCCCAAACCTGGCAGGGCTGGGAAGCCAGTGGTAACGGTGTGAGAGGGGGAGGGTAGGTGATGGTCCCGGGGTTCCTGGGCCCCTCAGCTCCTCATTCTCCAAGCTGACCTCATTAGGTGAATGTGGAGACTATGCATGGTCAATGAGTAGTGATCAGGCCATCAATGCAGGTGATAAGGACTCAACAACAGTAATCAAAGGGGGGGGGGACCCTCCGCTCTGACTTTCCTAGGACTTCATTCTCACCTTCATCCTTCCTGAGGGTCACCACCCCAGTCCCACCAACCAACCGAGCCTGGCATGAGGGAGCCCCGGGGCGTGGGAACCCTGGTCTTCCAGGTCCCAAACCTTGCCCCCCTGTTCGGGGCAATTCCAGGTGCCGGGGAGCTATGACTCAGTGCCTGACCTCAGCCTGGGGGAGAGGGCAGTTTCCTATGAGATTGTGACTCAGGGGCCCAGGGCTGGGGAGGCAAAGTGCCTTTGTTGGCCTGGGCTCAGGAATCCAGAGAAACTGGTCAGGGAAAGGCCCTGGGGACTGAAACCCCTCCCTCTCTCCCCCCGCCCCTCCACGGAGCCATATAACCGCCCCAAGCTCCTGCGCGAGTGCGAGTAGCAGCTGTCGGCTGGGAGGAACTGGTCTGTCTGGTCACACTCCCTGAGCTGGCGCCTGGCTGTTGGGGGAGTCATACCTAGCTGCTCCGACTGCCTTCGCCTGGGACTCTCCCTGCAGACACCGCACGTCCATCCTCAGCACTTGGATTTCTACGACGCCCAGGGCCAGATTTCCAAAGACTTCCAGGTCCCAGACCCCGGCAGACGCGGAACGATGGCCTCCATGGGGCTGCAGGTGATGGGCATCGCGCTGGCCGTGCTGGGCTGGCTGGGCGCCATCCTGAGCTGCGCGCTGCCCATGTGGCGGGTCACGGCCTTCATCGGCAGCAACATCGTCACGTCGCAGACCATCTGGGAGGGCCTGTGGATGAACTGCGTGGTGCAGAGCACCGGCCAGATGCAGTGCAAGGTGTACGACTCCATGCTGGCGCTGCCGCAGGACCTGCAGGCGGCCCGCGCCCTCATCGTCATCTGCGTCGTCGTGGCTGTGATCGGCGTGCTGCTGTCCGTGATGGGCGGCAAGTGCACCAACTGCGTGGAGGACGAGAGCGCCAAGGCCAAGATCATGATCGTGGCGGGCGTGGTGTTCATCCTGGCGGGCCTGCTGGTGATGGTGCCCGTGTCCTGGACGGCCAACACCATCATCCGGGACTTCTACAACCCGCTGGTGGCTGCCGGCCAGAAGCGGGAGATCGGGGCCTCGCTCTACGTGGGCTGGGCGGCCGCCGGCCTGATGATGCTGGGGGGGGCCCTGCTCTGCTGCAACTGCCCGCCCCGCGCAGACAAACCCTACTCCGCCAAGTACTCCGCCGCCCGCTCCGCCCCCGCCAGCAACTACGTGTAAGGTGTCGCCGCTCAACACTGTTGACTTTGTTTCTCCCTGGACTGAGCTCAGCGCAGCTTGTAAGCCCCAGGATGGCCCTGCCGTGGCCCGCCGCAGGCTGCTGGGAGGGGGGGGGGCCAGCAGGGACTGAGACAGGACCCTGGCCTGCAGCCCTCAGCCCCTTCTGGCCCTCAAGGATACCTTTCCAAGGCCTCCCCTACACAAGGATGGACTGAAAGACTTCCTAGCCACCTTCCTCTGCATGGATGTGGCCACGGGGGCCGGGGAGGGGTTGGGGGGTGGGCAGCAAACGGGCATGGCCGTGGAGCTGGGAGCTGACTCTTGCTGGCCAGGACGGCTCAGCCTGACTGTACTTGGGATCTCTGACCGGGTGCCCTGCCAGTGCCTGTGTGGTTGGCCTCTGTTCTTCGATCATCCTCACTCCCTCCAAGTGCCTTCTGTGGAAACCCTGTGGCTTTGAGAATGGCTGGGGCCTCACCCACCCACCTGCCTGCCTGTGGAGCAGAGTCGACAGACGGGTTTAGAAGGGAGGGGTGAAGGTGCTACAAACTGGTTTGGGGAGTGGTGGGGGAGGGGGCTGCAGAGCCTCAGCTGCGTCAGCAGGAGGACCCTGGGCCCCTTGAAACCGGCCACTGTGAAGGTCACTGGCCGGCCTGGGGAAGGCAGAGGAACAGCCTTACGCTGGCCTTCACCCTGGAGCTTTTCCCTGCCTCCTCTGTGGTGTGTTTTGTAATATAAGCTCTATTTGTCACGGTAATTACTATTATTTTCTACAATAAATGAGACCTGTGCACAGGAAGACTGTATGTTTCTGATTTCAGTTGTGGGTGGGCAGGGCAGCGGTGGAGGGGGTCAGCAAGGGGTAGGACCAGTGTCTAGCCTGGTTGGGAACCCTTAAAAAACTGGTTTTGTAAAAAACAAAACAAAAACCAAACAAACTTGGAACTGGCCTGACCTTTGTAACCACCTTGTTCAAGCCCTTCAAATACTAGCAGGTGAAGACCATATACAGGAAAGTGTGTGCCCCGAACCCTGGTGAGGTGCTGGGGACTTTAGGAGGGAGGGCTGATGGGACATCCAGGCCTAGTGAATGGGCCACCTGTTCTCTCCCTGTTTGTCCCAACTTTGTTCGGGCAGCCAGGCTGGTCTGCTCACTCTTCCTCCTGGCTTTGGCTTAGACTTTCCCTGCCTTGGGCCTGGAATGTCCTCTTCCTTTCCCCATCCCTCTGAATCCTGCTCATCCTGAAGGCACAGCTCGGAGCCTCCACCCCCTGAGGCCTTCCACCTGCTCAGAGGAATTATTACCAGCCCTGTTCATGGGGCAACCTCCAAGCCTCACCCCGAGTTCCGATCTCTTTGGAGATAAAGAATCCGAGTCCCGGACACGTGACCCCGTTTGGCCGAGGCCCAGAGGCAGGTGTGCAGGGTTCCTGTTTGGTGAGTTAAGAGGTGAGAGGGCCCATCAGCCTGGGAAGAGTCATAAAGTCCCATCTCTGGCCCTGTCGGGAGCCTCTTTTCACTTCTGTCCTCCACGGGGACGACGTCACTTCCCCGGGGTGAGAGAACTGCAGAGTCAGAATCCCGCTGCCCCTCCCGGGGCTCATTTAATAGGCAGAGCGTTCCTGAGCAGCAGGGCTGGTGCAGTGGCCCCGTTTTACAGATGAGGGACAGGAGCCCCGAGGACAGGCCTGGATGAAGTCCCCTGGAAGGTCAGAGGCCAGTGCGGGGCTGAGCACGGGGCCTCCCTCCCTCCGCCGGGGCCGCCTGCCGCTTTCGGTAGAGGTAGACGATGCCAGAGATGAAGCCGGCACCGTCCGGAGTGCCAGGCACCGCCTCCAGCTTGCTGGTAGCCAGCTCCCACCGGTCCACAGGCCGGGCCTCCAGCCGCTCCCACTCCCTGGCCTGCTCCAGCTTGTCCAGGGTGGCCTCCAGGGCCTCCTTGTACTGAAGGTTGGAGGGGTTGGTCCTGGTGGTCAGACACACCAGCCCGCCTGGGGAGAGGTGGGGGGAAGGGAGGTGAGAGGCCGGAGCCAGAGTTGCAGGTTAGCGTCCCCTTTCCTTGTGGCTCAGGCCGCCAAGGGTGCCCTCGAGGACGGGAGTTCTCCCAGCGTGCCTCCAGGCCAGCCTTTTCCTGTCTCCACGCCTTTGGTGCTCACCGTCCCCACCTTCAGGAATCGCCTCTGCTTCTCCAGCTGGAATGCCTCCCAGGCACCCTTTAGGGCCCGCGTAACCTTTATGCTGGGAATTCTTGTTTCTCTGGACAGAGGGGGCTGCATCCTCACCACCCACCCAGCGCCTCTGCTGGAGGATATGGCTGTGTCCGGAGGCACCCGGCCTTGGACAGGTCCCTCCACCTCCCTGGGTCTCAGTTTCTCGCTTGCCGAGTGGGGTTCATGAATTACCCCGTGTCAGAAAGGCCAGTGCAGTCAGTAACCATGGCTGCATGCATGAATGAATGATTTCACCCCTTCACCCCTTCTCGGGGCACCCACAGCATGCCCAGTGCAGGCTTGGAGACACTTAAGATACTGGTGTCCGAAAGATTTCCTGGAGGAAGGGGCGAGGAGAAGCAGGCCTTGCTGGCGGAGGGGGCTGAGAGGAAAGGCTCTGAAGGGCAGCCTGTGGCATGTGGGCAGGCAGACAGGGCTCGGGCAGCTGAGGGGGCTGGTAAGCACAGGCTGGGCTATGAGGCCTAGTCTTTACGGTTCAGGCAATGGGAGTTTCCTGTCCTGAGCCCAATCGCCACCTCCTTCTCTGACCCCACACCGACGTCCCTACATCCGTCAGCCTCCGTGGTTCCGAGGCCTGCCCAGACCTGCCCAGGCTTAGCCACGGCCGTGTTGTGCCCCTGCAGGGAGATGCAATCTTGCTGTGAATGGGGCACCGTTGGGGCATCCTGGTCCTGTCCTGCAGCCACGTCAGGGCCTCATGACCCTCAGACACCCCTCTGCCTGCAACTTCACTTAGGCTGTGTCCCCGGGTGGACTGCCCCTACTCCCCATCCCAGCCCTGGTCTTTCTCCCCCGGGCCCTGCCGAAGATGCAGCCCAAGTGTTTGGGAAACAGGCACGTGGTGGGTTGGTGATGGAGCCCAGAGGGCAGGGTAAATACTTTCTCCTCAGAGCAGAGACAGGCACAGGGCAAGACACATAGGTGCAATGCGTTAGCTGGTGTATCTGACCACCAGGACCAACCTGCCCTGGGGTGCCAGGCTACCTATTCACAGAGGAAGAAACTGAGGCCAGGAAAGAATGACTCATCTAACAGTCATCCGTGAGTTAGTGAGGAAGCTGGAAGACGAGGGAACTGAACTGAGACTTCAAGCCAAGGCTAAAGCAAAGGCCTTAATGTATTATTCCACCCAATTATCACGGTAATCCTATTTGGAAGGGACTATGCCCACAGAGAGGAGGGTGGACTTACTCCTGGTCACCTAATGCATAAGAGGCAAGGAGGGCCGAAACCGGTTTGGCTCAGTGGATAGAGCGTCGGCCTGCGGAATGAAAGGTCCCAGGTTCGATTCCGGTCAAGGGCATGTACCTTGGTTGCGGGCACATCCCCAGTAGGGCTTGTGCAAGAGGCAGCTGATCGATGATTCTCTCTCATTGATGTTTCTGACTTTCTATCCCTCTCTCTTCCTCTCTGTAAAAAATCAATAAAATATATATTAAAAAAAAAAAAAAAAAAAAAAAAAAAGAGGCAAGGAGGCCACCTGCCTGCCCTGCCTGTTTGTTTGCCTGGGTCAGCATTCAGCAGCTGGTGGCTGGGATGTTATGCGAGGCTGTGTGACCCTAGGCCAGACCATGCCACTTGGTTGGCCTCAGGAATCCTGAGGCTCGAGTCTTTGGGTGTGGAGAGCGGGAGGTGGGTGGGGGTTCGTCGGGCTGCTTCTCACCTGGCTTGGTGACTCGCAGGAGCTCAGGTATCGCACTGCAGGGCACCTGGCCGTCACTGAGGGCGCCGACCATCAGCACCGCGTCATAGGTCCCTGGCGAAGTGTGCAGATGCGGTGTGGCGGTTTGTCTGCGGTGTGGCCTCAGACTACCATGGAGGATGGTATCCATGGTGGGTTTGGGGAGGGACCAGGCCAACCTCTAGTGTCTGCAGGACCCAGATCCCGTGGGGGATATGGCAGGTTAGCCCAATTCTGGTTTGAGGTCAGCTCGTGGGACGGAGAGCTCAGAGAGGGGCTCACGGGACCTCAGAGAGGGTCTTAGTGAGGCACTGGGGGGCTCCGAGGGAAATGAAGGCTCAGCAAGGGGGATGGAAAGGGGCACTGTCAAGGGGGCCTCGGGGTGGTAGGGTACAAGAGGAAGTACCTTCAGGGCTGGGCAGAGGCTCCTGGCCCAGGGTGCAGAGGCTGAGGTGCTGGTAGAGGCTGCGGGCCCGGGCGTGTTCCAGCATCCCTGAGCTCCCGTCCACTCCATGCAGCCGGAGGAAGCCTCGAGCCTGCAGCTGGGGTGGGAGGGCTGTCACAGGTCACACCTGCCACCTCCCAGAGGGGTCCCTGCACCTTCAGGAGAGCAGTGGGCTCTGCAGTGGGTGTAGCCCACGTGTTTGGGAACCAGTGAGTGTGGGGCCAGGGTGGCAAGAAGTGTGAGCAAGTGGGGGGCTTAAAAGAGGGCAGAGAGCTGGGCAGGCCTCACCTCGGCAGCCACCAGGCCGGTGCCACAGGCCACATCCAGGATCAGGGCGGCTTCAGGTGGGCCTGGAAGGGCTTGGGTGAGGCAGTCAACTGCGAGGCTGGGGGCACGGTACTGCAGGGCAGCCACGTCCTGGGGACAGAGAGCTGTGCTTAGCTGACGACCACCCTGTGTCCTAGTGTTTGAGGGGCCTCAGTGTGGGGTAGTCTAGGAGTCAGCCAGGCTAAGCTGTGTGTGTGTGTGTGTGTGTGTGTGTGTGTGTGTGTGTGTGTGTGTGTGTATGTGGTCGCTGAGCCTCTAGGCTTGCAGTGAGAGGAGACAGACATGAGGTGCTATCCTCTCAGCCCACTGCTGAGACCTGCTCTGCTGGCCAAAGCAGAGCTCCGTGCTTAGTCCACAGTGGCCCTTCACCGGCACCTCCTTAGGCAGGCCGTCCTTCTGCCTGGGCTGCAGTCCCAAAGTGGGGAGGGAAGTTTCGGCCCCTGATCAACAGGGGCTGCTGTTGTGGAGTGATGGGGCTGAGGACAGGGCTGAGGTGGGTGGGCAGAAGAGGGGGCAGTTCCAGAGGGAACCTGACTGCAAGGTTGTGCCCAGGTCTCACTTCATTCTCACAAGCTGCCCTGGGGTGCCAGGCTACCTATTCTCGGTGTACAGATAGGTAAACTGAGGCTGGGCGAGCAAGGGAGGAGGAGGAACCCCGGCGGGTGTACCTGATCATAGTCCGGAGCCCAGCGGTCATAAAAGTGCAGCTTCTGGGTCAGGTCAGTGATGCCATGCGAGGCCCCGACCCGCGCCCGCACCCTGGACAGGCTCCCGCCCTCCTCCTGAGCCATCCTCCTGCGGGAAAAGGCCTCCGTGTCCTGAGGTCCAGCTCATCCTCCATCCGCCCTCCCCACCCCGCCCCCCACCTCTCCATCCGCCGCGCACAGCAGCGGCTCTCCAGGCACCGCACACGCCCACTGCACAGGCGGGGACACTGGGCAGCGGACGGACACCTGCGGTGCGGGGCTGGAGAAGGGGTTCCAGCAGCGGGAGGGAGGGCCTGCTCGGACCCTGCAGTCGAAAGCGGGTTTCCAGGGCCGAAAGGTCGCTCCGGCTGTGGGGACAGTGAAGGGGGAGCGGGGGGGGGGGGGGGGCGCGGTCAGAACTCACCTCCTCCGACCGCGGGCGGGGGTGGTGGGGAAGCTGGGACACCCCACGGGTCAGCGTGGCTGGCCTGGCCCCGCCCCCGACGCCCGCGATTGGCTGTCTTCTAAGAAAAACTACCCAATCAAAAGAGTCGCTGGCAGCCCGCCCCTCCACCATCAGCCAATGGGCTCAAAGGCTTGGCCCTCCTCCAGCCCAGGGAGACTGTTATGCAGATTTTCTTGGTGGCTGAGTAGGTGGGCTCCTGAGCCCCACGTCCTGAATGCTTCCTAAAAAGCCATGAGATTTTAGGCAGTGGGAGCCCCTGAGTTCTCAGGGATGAGAGAGGGAGTGAACAACAAGCAAAACTGGAGCCAGAGCCCTGGGTGGTTTGGCACAGAGGATAGAGCGTAGGTCTGCGGACTGAAAGGTCCCAGGTTCGATTCCGGTCAAGGGCATGTACCTTGGTTGTGGGCGCATCCCCAGTGGAGGGTGTGCAGGAGGCAGCTGATCGATGTTTCTCTCTCTCATCGATGTTTCTGTCTATCTCTATCTCCCTTCCTCTTTGTAAAAAAAATCAATGAAATATATATATAAAAAAAAATGGAGCCAGACCTTTCCCCCAAGGTGACTATTATCACTGATCACATCCCCTGGCATATCACTGATTATGTGGTTTAGACTCCCTGACCTTTCATATCTCTGGGCTGGTCATGTGGTTTAAACACATCACCTTTCCTACCTAGAGATAACATCTAGGTTTCGGTTGTATTTCAGCTCCAGGCCCAGAAAAGTAACAAAACAGGTGGCCATGCCAGGGCTAATGACCCTTGTGCTGACCCACCAGTGGGAGACCAAGGCCTTGAAGGGGCACCGTTGGAAAAGCTGATGAATATTCTATTGAGATCCTCCCCTAAAACCTCCCCCAAATCTCTCAGCCTTTAAAACCTGCAAGGTGAAGCGCCCAGAGCAAACTCTCCTGGGAGCCCACCCACGCCTTTCCCTTTCCTCACAGGCATTCATCTCCTAAATCTAAGGGACCCCATGAAACTTGCAGCCAGGGAAGCAGTGGGCGGCGGCAGCTCCTCTCGGGGTAAACCTTTGACCCTGTCCTCAAGGCCCCCTTTTCTCTGACTCTCCAGTGAGCTAAAGCAGCCTTGGCTCAGTTCTTTCCCATAACATTTCTGAGAGCCAAAGCAGCCCTGTTTAGTCTCTCTCCTGTAGCTCCTTCTATTCCAAGCCCTTTCCTTGGGTCACTGTCCCCAGCTTTAATAAACATACTCAACACCACCGGACTTGTGTTATGAAATCTTCCCTGCATGAAGTTAAGAACCCCCACATTACAGGCTGGCTCAAGGCAGACCTGCTCCAGACCTGGTCCGTTGCCGGTAACAAAACCTTGTTATGACATCATTACAACACCCAGCTCAGGTGAGCTTGGAAAAAATAAACAAAAAACAAACCTCTTTCCTTTCGTGCAGTTCATCCAAATGCCCTTCTGGTTGATGGATGGGATGCTGCTCCATTCATGAACCACTTAATAAAGCCGATTAATTAGGTCTTCAATTTACTTGGTTTAATTATGTTCTTTAACAGGGGTGGAAGTAGTCCATTTCTAGACCTGGACAATAAAAAACCCCAACTACTAATATGATTCTCTAGGAAGTGGGCCCAAGCACCCAGAAGACAGTAGGGTTACAAGATGAAGGAATCTGTGACCCTAAATGATTGTGTGGAGCAGTGCCCTCTCCATCAATCTGCCTTGGACTGTAACATCGTGAAAAATAATATAAGCTGAGCTACTTTTTGAAGTTGGAGCTGCCATCCCAGAGTAACTGTCTTGAAGGTCTTACTACTCAAACCTTTGTTATATTAAAAGTAGGCAAAATAACCTTTGCACTGGGCCTAAAGCAGCATTGCATTCCAAACAACCGTTTGTAAAGCTAATAAAAAAAAGAAAAAGAAAAAGAAAAAGCAGATATTATGACTACTGGACTGAAAATTAAAGACATTCTTTAGAATTAGCATCACCATGTTAGCTTATTTGCACCTATAGAAACTCCTTCCTTTGGTTCATGCAATTATTCCCCTTCCCTTTCTCATAAATACCCCTTGCTTTCACCTCCGAATTAGATATCATATGAGTTTCTGCCTAAATCAGTTTACAATAGCTCTGTGTGTGGGGGGGGGGGGGGGAGAAGGGTTCTATGGAATGTAACATCACTGGGTGTTATGAACATAAATTCCTAACTGTGCAAGTCATGGTGCATAGTCACTTCCCAGGAATAACTTCCTTAGTAAAAGGCTTATCTTTGCTTTAAACAAGCCCTGTCCATTGTCTCTGAGTATGTAAGCAGGTTAACATACCTTTAAAATGCCCTCTTTCACCAAAAGATAGATATAGAGACAGTAAAGCAACAAGCAGACTGTCAAATTACAGCGGGGAGGTTGGGGAAATCTGGGGGAGATAAACGATCAACGGAAGGACTTGTATACATGCATATAAGTACAACCCATGGACACAAAACTCTGGGAAGGAACGGTATGTACGGGAGGGGGGGGGCATTGGTATATGTACAAACATAATAATTTAATTAAAAAAAATAAAAGTATACCTCTACACACCTAAAAAAAAATAAAAATAAAAATAAATAAATAAAATAAAATAAATAAAATGCCCTCTTTCAGAGGCTCTTAATATGTAGCCACCCATTCACGTCAAGGCCCTCCTTCTAAAGGGAACCTCCTCAAGCAAACACATAATCTCATGAACCTGTAATCTCATCCCCATCTTGCTTTTTCCTACCCTCCTGTAATCCTCCTTATGTTCCATCCTTCATAACAAATGCATGTAAGAAACTGCATGCTGCCATTTTGGGAGGCATTTGAGATATGCTGTCAATTTTGCTCAAATACGTCCTCATAAAAATTCTCTACATGTTTGGACATTTTTAGGTCATCAGCTACTTGCATAGCTATCTTTTGGATGTCAAATAATTGCTTGTTGCCTCTCCCTGGTTGCCTAAACTTTATTTTTAGGTTAATAACATGAATAAGAAATAAACTTTCACTAAAACCGGTTTGTCTCAGTGGATAGAGTGTCAGCCTGCGGACTGAAGGGTCCTGGGTTCGATTCCGGTCAAGGACATGTACCTTGGTTGAGGGCCCATTCCCAGTAGGGTGTGTGCAAGAGGCAGCTGATTGATGATATTCTCTTATCCATGTTTCTAACTCTCTATCCCTCTCTCTTCCTCTCTGTAAAAAAATCAATAAAATATATTTAAAAAAGAAGAAAGAAACTTTTATTGTGCTAAGTTACTGAGATTTAAGGATCTGTCTATTACGATAGCTGTTGCCATTTCCTTTCGTTCATGTAGTGACTTTGGTAAGAGCAGTTTTGGGGGAGTGGATCTAAATAAAAAAATCTGTCTTAGTCCAAAGGCGTATGCTGCATATGTGTGAATCTTCCGTGCTCAGCTGCAAATGAAAGGACACCCGCATGGCAGCGACTTAGAGATTTACTGCTCTGAAAAATGGAGCTGAGACTGGACAGCAGGGTGTGGGGTTCAGTGAGGCTCTCAGGGACCCAGGTTTCCCTGCCACCTTTTGCATGGAGGCCTTTGTCCTCAACCGCTGTCACCTTGTCTTGGCTGGTACACCTCCAGACAGGACTAAGGGGAAAGGACAAAAAGCGAGGCCAGCTGAGTGTATTCGTCATCACAAAAGCTTACTGGAAACCGCCCCCCAATGACTTCTGTTTTATCCTATTGGCCAAAATGGGTCACATGGCCATGCCCGGGTCCTCTCTGAAAGGTGAGTGGGAGGCTGGGATGGAGGCTGGCTTCAGCCAGCTGACTGTTTGGGTCCCAGCTCTGCAGCCTCCACAGTTCATTTAGGCCAATAAATATTTATTGTGCATCTCCTGTTTTATAAGCTCTGGGTTGGGCATTGGAGTCACAGAGATGAGTCAGAGACGGCCTGACTCTAACCAGGGGGAGGAGTGTTCTTCTGTGAAGGCTCTGTTCACTATTTCATCGTATCCACGTGTAGGCTTTCTTTCTGAGTCAACACCCCTGACCAGGTGTCCAGAACCACTCCTTTGTTTGGGGTGATGGTGGGGTGGAGTCTGTGGGTGCTATGGAGACGTGGTAGTGAGGAGTGTAAGGTGAACAGGCCCCAGGAAAGGCAGTCCTGTTGCACCATCAGAGGGCAGGGGTCCTGGGGACGACTGCCTGTCTGCTCTCTGAGTCCCTCAGTGGTGTCCCGCTCACGGACGGGGGCTGCACAGTTTGTGGCCACCGGCACGGCTCCTACAAAGATGGCTCCCGGGCCCTGGTGGCAGATGAAACTTGCCATGAGGGGCACCAGTGAGGGTTGGTGGTCTCTGGATGTTGCTCTCCTCCTTCTGTGGGCGGACCCTGGACCCCCCTGGATTTCTCTCTCCTCACAGCCCACTCCATGTATCTCCCTCCTGAGCCCAGGAACCTGCGCCCGCCTTGGGGCAGGAACGTTTTCTCTGACTCACGGAGTGTTTTTGTTTCCTCTGATCCTCATTCGCTTCGAGTCCTGAGCTTTTGGAACCCAACAGCGTCTTCTGTCTTCTGTCATCTGCTGGAAATGCTGCTCCCCTGAGGCAGTGGGTACACCTGGCACAGCCACCACCACCGTGGGGAGAAGGTTTGGGTAACAACATGGTTTGGGGGTGAGG